TCGTGCTCTTCCCCTGCTGAAGATGGCTCTGAAATAAACTCATTTCAAGGATGTTCTGGGCATCCAATGCATTGTGATAGCAGAACTTATGGCCTTTACATCTATTTTCAGAGGCCTTCTGTAATCTGTACCAGCAATGCTTATGATATATTAAGTTTATTTTCCTTTAAGCTCTATCTCCTCTAACATAATCTCCAACAATTATGTCCTTTTGATTTAATTTTTACACTGGTTCAGTAGAAATCATAGACTGTGTATACTGTATTCTCAAATTCAAACTATTAAAATAGACTTGAATGTCTTATTAATAATAATGTTTTCTGAAAAGAGAAAACAGTTAACAAATGCATACCTTTTGCTTCTTTTCAGCACATACTGGTTAAAATAAACATTTCTGGTCATTTAAGTAGCCCTCATACAAATTGTGAATTTTGCATTCTTTGGAGTGATCAGCTAGATTTACATTAATAATATAGACCTGAATCACCTTTTTGATTCATTGTTCATAGCATGTTATGAACAATGAGCAAAGTTTTGATTCAAATTCAGCTGAAAATGCTCATGAACTACATCAATGTCCCTATTATAACTCAACTCAAGAATGATTTAGTTTGCTGTTTAGTCTAGAGCAGGGGTTCCAACGGGAGTTCTGCGGAACCCCAGGATTCTGCCAATAAAATCCGTCAAATCTAGTGATATATGAATGTGCAGATGTGGGATGCGAGATGTAATTGTTGTAATCTGGGATCAAGTCCTCTTATGACGTTCTATACATGTGCTAGAGTTATTTATAGCTTTATAAACAGTGGGGACTGATTTATTGGTACGAACCAAAATTGTGATATAATGTTTGACAAGATAATGGAAATGATAAAACTTGACCTAAAGCTAGAAAATCATTAAAAAGTATCCAACATATAAATAATAATACACAGTCGTTAAACATACTTTAATTTGTTGATATCTGTAGTGCAAGCGTATTGAATCTAATGACGGGAGTGGCCAGTCAGCTTCCCAATGGTACCGAACTGTACATTCTATGATACTAGTGACGAGCGTCACGTCATCGAGGGGCTAATTAATGTCCCGTCATCTGTATTGTGTTGTAGTGCAATGGTACAGTGTACAAGTGGGCATATTGATCAAAGATCAGTTTAAGTACTTTTCATATAAAAATACAGTGGGAATTATATAAATTTATAGTGCTTTAAGTATTGTGTATACCCCAAATTAAAATATTGTGGAACATTGGCTGAGAGGAGTTTTGAAGAAGAATGTAACAAGTACTTGAAATGTTTCAAGTGATGAGGAGACTAAGTGGGTAGATACAAATCCAGGCACACGAGCACTGTTTAAAATATAGAAAGAAAAAACGTTTAACCCTTCACACTAATGACCAGTTTGTTATTATTATTTTTCTTTTTTTGTACATTTTCAATAAATTGTTTTTGGTGTTTCTGTTTTATTTATATCATTGTCAGGGTTTCAACATTTTTTACTAAGGTTCTGCGATAAAAATAAGTTGGTACCTGTTGTTTATGTTCTTTCAATATAATTCCACCCGTCAAAGAACCATTCACCATAATTTTGGAATAAGTTTTTGCCATTGGCAGACTTAGTTCTATTGATGTCTGCCACTGTGTGAGCTATTGGATGTATAATTTCTCTTGATTTAAAGTAAAGTGTTCTTTATAAAACGGTTCTATTAAGTTGCAAAAAAAGATCAGTTACGTGTGCTCATATTGGGAGAGTGTGGAGGATGTTTCAGAAGTTCCCAATGCAACTGGGCTAACATATCCTTTACCAAAACTGTTCAGTCAAATGACAAAAAAACCCAACAAACTGCAATTTGATCTTCAAGATATGCACAACTGTAGTGTGCATCGGTCCAATTTCAGCAGTGAGCTCTCTACTTGTCCACTTGGCCTTTTCAGTTGTATGCATTTGCATCCTCTTTTGAGCTGTGGTACCAATCTTGCAAAAGTTCGTATAATCTTCATAAGCCGACAGGCCTTTATAACATTTTCATTGTTCAATCCCTCGGGCCATTTAATTCTTTAGCCAAGAATGTTGTACAATCTTCAAAAACATTATTTAGGTCAGTTAGTTAAATGCTCCTGCAGCAGAATATTTCAGATGAAATGGGCCCGATGTCCAAACCAGATCATTTCATCACACTCCTGTTCATATATCTCAATATTTCATTTTTTTAAAAATGAAATTATGGTTCGTAGCAAGTTTTAAGAGAAATAAAAAAATTTTATTCAATTATACATGCACTGTTGTTTTTAATACGTTGCCATCTATGGGAAAGCTTCGTAATGCCCTTTTCGTAGAACTTCCTAGTTTTCCCCATAAAAAACTGTTCCACATAGTTTGGAAGCTTGCAGAAACTATTAGTTTGTGGTTTGGCATTATCTTAATGAAACACAATGCTTTTTCTGTTGGCCAATTCCAAATGTTTTACTCCACTCGTCATCTTCAGTTGTTCCGGTTGGGAACAATACTTATCAGAATCGATTGTTTGATTCTGTAGAAGCAGCTTGTTGTAGAAAATTCCTTTCCATTCCACCAGTCAGTGAGTATGACCTTTTTTGGAGTTTTTAATGGTGGTTTGTTTTTCTTGCCCCCATGATCATTTTTAGCTGATGATTTTACAAACGAGATCTGTTTTTCATCACCCGTCGCTAGACATTTTAGAAAAGTGTTATTTTCACTTAGTTTTTGAAGAGAATTGCAAATAGAGATGCAATCCAGCAAATTCTTTTAAGTTGTGAGGTGTCCAAATGTTGTAACAATTCACATATCCAAGATTCTTCAGATGTTGAAGTATAATACTGTTCAATAATTTCACTAAATCCGCTATCTCTTGGGTTTTGTAATGAGGGTTGTCATCCAATAATCTGGTCCTCTTCAATAACGACCAGTCTTCCCGAGCACGGAGCATCTTCAAGGTTGAAATTACCTGCTTTAAATTTAGCAAACTGCTTCTGAACAGTTGACTTTGCTACTGTCCTTCCAACATAAACATCATATATTTCTTTTACTGTTTCTATGGGTATTTTTGTCTTTTCAATAGAATAAAAGAAACAAGTGTCGAACATGTGATTTGCTTGCTACAAATTTCTGTGAAATGTATTGATAGTGAACTGCAAGGCTCCAAATCAATAATTTTTCTGAAATTTCTGTTTACATCAAGAATTTAAGCAATTCTGATTACATTTTAAAGCTTATTAACCAATTATCGTTCTCAAAACATATTTTATTCATAATCTAAAAACTATTAAGTTTAATATGAAACTAAATAAAAGAAAAATTGTTTAGCTTTCATTAAAACAGTTGTGGATTATCTGTGCCTCCATTACCAGTGATTAGCCCAGATACTTGTGTGTGTACTGTAGTTAGAAATAAAGTTTTGGTGTAACTAGAACTTAGCTGTGACCGAATGCTCTTTTGGTGCATCGCGTGCACCAGTGTAAAGACATTTCGACATGCTCGAACACTTGAAAATTGTTTTTTTTTTTTAAGCAAGACACTATTTGTGGTATACATTACAATAAAGAATTTTTCCATCTGTTTTAAATTAATAAATATGGCACTTAAAATAATTTTAATCCGATTAATTCAAAAGTTTTAGAGAATACGAAAATGGCTTTCTGCAGTAAAACGTGTTCATTTGTGGGTCCTTAATTAAAAGAATGCAAGTTAAGCAGTTCAAATTTTGCACTCTCGTCTGTAATGAAGTGGTATTTATGAACTATAATGTGCAGAAAGAGACTATAATCATTTAAAAAATAGCACTTGTAATCCTGCAAACAAGCTATGTTTATAAAGCATTTAGTCTTGAAAATGATCAAATTGCATTATACGCAGTAAAAATTAAAATGCTTATTTTATGTGCTTAAAAATGCATATAAACTATACATTTTAAAAACACACACACAAATAATTTAAATTTAAAAATATTGTCTTCATAACCTTTAGAGATCAGTTCATAATTATGTTGTAGATGAAAGATATAATAGTGGAATTCACTTTGTTACAGCTTCATGTCTCAATTTAGACCAACATGACATATATGTAATCTAATATTTAAATAGCTTACTTTATTATAAAATGTTCTGCTAGTAAAATTCTCCTTCAAACCATCATTTAATTCTCCCTCTATTATATTGTCTGGTTTTGCGATACTAATTTAGTTTAGCAAAATTCCAAAATCAAATAACGTCGGAAGGGCCGCGGAGTTGGATTCAAAAGCAATTTCAAATGAACCGACCTCAAACTTTAACCGGTTTACGGTTCTAAAAAGTAGTCTGACGATTTTCATTGATAGCGATGAAATGCCTCGTAAGTTGCATGCATTCAATCAATGTAATCAGTATATTTATTACGTTGATTATATAAATAAAGGAGTTGGAGTTAGTCAAAACATTTGTGTACTGAATACACTCACAATGTTGTCTAGACTGGAGTGTAAGTACACGGCACAAAACACCATAAATAACTCCAGTAAGTAATCGGGGGTGGAAGGACAAACATTTTCGATCCTTTCGGCGGATCTTTTTCGGGTCGAGAAGATCCATCAAAAGGATCGAAAACGTTTGTTCTTCTGCCTGTGATTACTTACTGAAGTTATTTAAGGTGTTTTGTGCTGTATAAACTGAGTGCTAGATGTTAACTTCAACTAAGCTAGTGACTTAAATTTCAGATATTATTTAGATCAATTAAATTGAGTACATCAATCACTGTGCATCTAAAATTTCATGAACTACAAATACTATTTTTGAAGATTGTTAAATTAATTTCCCAGCACTGCAAATCAATAGATGTAATGCTTTCTAGTTACATTCTGTGAATACACATTCCTTTTTCATTCATTTATTTAGTTTTTGCAAACCATTTCGGAGTATCTAGAATTTCAGATAATCAAATTTCTATTATTAATATCACTTTAAATGTAAATTATGAATTATAATCTTAGTGAAAAAACATTTTTACAGGTGCTAAATGAGGCTGTGGGTGCCTTAATGTGGCACACCATTACTCTTACCAAAGAAGATCTGGAAAAATTCAAAGCATTAAGGATAATTGTCCGTATTGGCTCAGGGGTAGATAATATCGATATAAAAGCAGCAGGAGAACTAGGTAAGCCGAGAGAAACATTAACGCTTTTGCTTAGTATAATAACTATCATTTAAAAATGAAATCTGTTGCCGTGCGCAATTAACGTACTTCGAAAATGTTATCCGTAGGTGTCGCAGTGTGCAATGTGCCTGGCTATGGTGTCGAAGAAGTTGCTGATACAACATTGTGCCTCATCCTTAATCTATATCGTCGTACCTACTGGCTGGCCAATTTGGTGCGAGAAGGCAAAAAGTTCCAGGGTCCCGAGCAGGTACGGGAAGCGGCACACGGCTGTGCAAGAATTCGTGGTGATACATTGGGAATTGTTGGATTAGGTGAGCCAATATGTCAGTATCGAAGGAATAAAGAGAGAAAATTTATTAATTTCTTATGTTGGTTACGTAACTATTAATTCTTTTTTGTTCCTAGGCCGAGTTGGAACAGCAGTAGCTCTTCGTGCCAAGGCATTTGGTTTCAATGTCATATTTTACGACCCTTATCTTCCGGACGGTATTGAAAAATCTCTGGGACTGACAAGAGTATACACACTTCAGGATTTATTATTTCAAAGTGATTGTGTATCCCTCCATTGCACATTAAATGAACACAATCATCATTTGATTAACGAGTATACTATCAAACAGATGAGGCCTGGTTAGTATTTAAAAAAATTGCTTCTCGATTTATTTTTGTTTGATAGTGCAAAAGAAGAAATTTTACCGATATTATTTTTATATTTATATGCTTAGGAGCATTTCTTGTCAATACCGCTCGTGGCGGACTCGTGGATGAAAATGCCCTCGCTAGTGCTCTAAAGGATGGTCGTATTCGAGCTGCTGCCTTAGACGTTCACGAAAACGAACCATATAACGCACTGGCCGGTGAGTATCGTAATAGTTGCAAGATCCGGTTTCTGCCACTAGTTTTAATATAAATATTAGGTAACATTTAATTTGTTATAGATTTGCTAATTAATTTGGTATTTCAGGCCCCCTGAAAGATGCACCTAATTTAGTATGCACACCACACGCCGCATGGTATAGTGACGCTAGTTCGACAGAGCTGAGAGAGATGGCAGCTAGCGAAATTAGGAGAGCCATCGTAGGACGCATTCCAGACTCTTTGCGCAACTGTGTCAACAAGGAATATTTCGTCAGCAGCGGATACGGCGAAAACATCAACGGAGCCAGCGGATACAACTTCAATCCTCTGGGCATTCCTCATTCCACTACCTTAGAGCCTCTTCCCACTGCACCTCACTCCCAACCCCATTCGACTCTCCAAGATACACCCAATCACCTTGCACCCAAACCGGAAAGTTCCGAAGTACACTAGTGTGATGGTTCCGTGCCATTGGAGTTTTACGTACGGTAGTATCCCACACACGGAGGAATTATAACGTGATCTGATGGCATACAATACAGAGCTTCTGGTTTGTGAAGCCACACACACGACTGTGTAGCAGTTTTGGACTTGACTTAAATGACAGCTGGTCCTGCAAGGCTGCATCAACCCTCTGGTAAACATCATGGCTAACCAGTTTGATCTCTGACCTCAGGCTGACCATTCTTCCAGTAAAGGCATGCTGAGCAGCTAAGACTGATAATCATGTTGCTAAATGGGGTAAAAACTTGATGAAGGAAGCTTCTACCAAATGGGTAGCAGCACTGCTTTCTGTTCTCCTTAATTCAAATGTAGGCTTGCAATAATTCTGCAGGCCTCGATTTCAGCGTAGGTAGGATGGACAGCAGACAGCCTAGGAGGGCAAGTCTATATATCTTGATTTTGTAGTACCAATTTAATTTCCCCCCTTTTTTATCAGTTTAATTAATACTTAGTGTCTGATGTATCTTTAGCATTTAGTCAAATATATTTGCTACGATTTCCTAATTAGCAAAATTAACACATTAACAGTTTTATGTAATTTTATTTTAGTATCCGTCTTTTTTTTTTCGTCGTTCTATTTTTTTAATAGCGAGTCGGACGTAAAATAAAATGCCGCCGCATCAGAGTAGACAAATCCGCAATGGGGACGTACGAAAATATAAACTATTTGACGACTCCCCAGGTTGTCTGCTGTCGGTGCTTTATAGTCCACGTTTTGGCCTGTCATTTTATTTTACTACTACAGTTTATGCATATATTTCCATGCTGTAAGTGGTTTTTTAATACGTAAAATAGGGCAAGGCGATAATCCGTAACCTTGCACCTTGGGTCTGTGACACAGGTTCCTCTATCTGACAACATATCGTCAGGAAATCATTCCACTTGGGCAGTACGTGACCAACTTTGGACAATGTAGTTTAAAAAATAAACAAAGCGGAGAAATTACCGGAATGCAAACCGATTCAACCGGATCGTGACATCTTATGCATTTTAGGGGAAATTCGATGCGGTCGGAAAAAGCTAAGGTCGAACGATAATTTCATACAAAAGCCGAATACCATGAGCTTCCTCCTTCAACCCGAATGTCAAAGATGTGCCTACCATCGTACTTTTTTGTTTAAAAGTTGCAGCGACACCACCTCTCATAGTGTAATCTTAAGTCATCTCTGCGTGCCCTTGTACGGATATATCCTCGGGGAAAGGTCATCCAAACCACTTTGTTTCACTGTTAGAATCTGTTGCACAGTGTGTCAGTGTAGCCACATCAGTGGAATGCATCATTTAGTTGGTCAGAAATGTAGATTCTAGTGGGCCGTAGCTTGATTCCCTTTAACACTGTCAGTTTTTTCTTTCATGTGTGACTGATATCATTTCATTGGGTGGCAGTAAATAAACATGACTACTTTCAAAAATAGTTTCTTTTATTATTGATTTTTTACACACATTTAAACAATAAAAATAAAATTATATAAATTGTGGTGATGTTTTTTCTTTTGTAGAACAAAATTTAAACAAAAAAAAATCTCTATTTGTATGTTTATGGTAATTAAAAAAAATTGTAGATTTCACTTTGAAACTAAATGTGGAAAAAAATCAAAATATTTTGTTAGGAGTGGTGTATCTCATGAAATTTGATCTACTTTAAACTACACACACCATATTTACATAGAACAATCAGAGATATTAGTGCATCAGGTCATGTTTTATATGTAATTGGACATTTGTAACCTATTTTTATTGTTTCTTCATTATGTAAATGTAACATCTGAAGTATCACAATTAAAGGATGATAAAAACAATCAACAAAAGTTCAGATATATGGAAAAAAATTCACACACACACGTACAAACTTTCCATAATTTTATTAATTTATATTAAAAACAAAGTTATCTATTTGGAACAGCGTCTAGTAATCTCTTGTCGGTCCTAAGGTAACGAAATACGAAACGAATCAAACAAATTATAATTGGAAAAGATCGAGCGTCGACGAATACTCACTCTTCGATCTTTCGTAGTCTCTTTAAGTGGGCGACCGCAGCGTACAGTTTTCCGTCGGACGGCTTCTTGTCTGCGGCTTCGTAAGAATAGTAGAAGCAGTCTTCGAGCCACTTCATCATGCTATTTCTATGGTTAATTCTTTTTATTTCGAAAACTCGTTTATTATTTTAAGAAACGAATCGGTTTTTTCATTTTAAAGTGCCTATGCATATAAAAGGATACGATTTTTCACTTATTTCTGTTTCAAGTATGTCGGGTTGGATCAAATTTGTTTTAAATCGATGCACTTCGTTCTGAAAAATGAATATATAAATCTGTAGTATTCGAGATTTTAAGGAATAAATGAACTTGATACTTTGAATGATTTAATTTCTTTTTATTGTAAATACGTTTATTGTACTTGTGCATAAGGATTTGAGTCGAGCATAATAAGAATTTTCTGGATCAAATTTTTTTGTTATTTGCATACAAAAACTAGAATACTAAATAAAAATTTTCTAAAATAACTTTAGTCGACGTAAAAATATAATTTGTACACTTTTTAGGGCAGAGCCTATTCAAAAGTCGTCACATTTATTTTCTCAAATAAATTCCGCGTAAAGAAACCATTTCCGTCAACAATGTACAATAGATAAAAAAGTTTCTCAAATTAATTTAATTACAAACAGATACTTTGACACTCAAATGCAATAAAATAGTAAATACCAAACATATTTTTACAAGAATTTCTTTAATTATTGGGGATGGCAAACCTTTTTGAGTCTGTGTGCCACAGCGATCGTAATTATCTTTAAAAAATGTCTGCGTGCGTCAAAGTGTTAGATTTAAAGAAACGAAACGAATATGCTTTGATTAGGTTAGATAAAGAATAAGTGTAAAGAAGCTGGCCGAAAAAAGCCAATCGAATAATATATCAAAAAGATAATAAAAAAAAAATGGGTGATAAACCAAAATCATATGATACATTGTGTGGCGGACAGTTTCTCCAGACCTACTACAGTTTGCCACCCTTAGCACCATTTGAGAGATGTGTATCCCTTTTAACTTATACAATGTTACACATACCACAGAAAAAAAAAAACTAACTACCTTAAATACAGTTGATTCCAATTACTGTAATGAATTTTCTTTGTATAGCCCATAGCAGATATATGTGCATAACTTATACACCCATTGAAAACATAGCACTTACCTTCGATACTGCATACCAGTTAGCATTCTTTTCCCCCCATTTGTTTTCATTAAATTACTAATTCATCACAAATATATTTTATAACCATGTAAACCCATAGTCAAAAATAGAAAAATGGCTATCAAATTACATTATAATAGAGAAGTTTTTTATTGTATGACGTCGTCGACATTAAACATTTTTCGAGTCACTAAATGCCGTCATTTGTGATGCAGATTGCATAGCTCTTATTTATCACAAAGAATTAACACTAGAATCGATAACCGGCTTCTATACAGTGATAGTTCTCCAATATTTGCTGTTTAGAGGGAGGACATTACTGTAAACTTATCAGCTTTCAATACTTGAACTTTTTATCTCGAGTGTGTAATAATAACAAAAATGTGGACGTAGAAAAAGGAATGGTGAGAATTAAAAGTGAGACGTGTCTGTTTGTTTCAGAAAAATTGTAATGTGAATTTTTACATATACTTTATTTAAACTTGTCAAGAGCATCTTTAAAGGAAAAGTATTGGATGAGTTAAAAAGTAGAAGTGAAAAATTAATAAATAAACCATGGTTTATTTGAAAGAAATTACAGTAATCTGAATTATTGGATAAATCAAACCTGCTATTGCCCTTGAAACTTAAATCTGAACTAATGGTAAAAAAATACAATTTAAAAAACTTGGATAATTCAAAGCCAGTGTCTCAGTTTTTGAAAACAAAACTCAAAAGAGAAACTAGCACACAGTCGACTGATTTCCCAAAATGTTGGAATATAGTCAAAATTGTCAAATGTTTCATAGTTTTGGTGTCATTTAAATCCAAATATCATAAAAACAGAGCTAAAAGTAAAGAAAAAACATTGTATTGTTGAACAATAGTTTAGTTTTCTGCACATTTAAACTAAAATTTTCTGTAACATTTAGAAAAAAAAATGAATTCTAACTGAAACTTCAATTGTAATTTATTCAAATGATACAACCATAGCTATGAACACAACTACACTGAATGATTTGATAATGTAAAGGATTTACTATCAAAACTGCGAAACAAATCTTTCAAAACACTTTCTTCTTTAATGCGAGACTTAATCAACATCCGACATTACAAGCTCAATTGGTTTATAATTTTTTTCAAAAAATTTCAAAATGAATTATTCTATTTTTATTTTGTTTTTAGATCTTATTAAGACAAAATAGTGAAATTTTATAATACTGATTTAACTTAAACTAGTGCAAATACGTTATTACGGTATAACCTCTGAATAGCAGATGCCGTCGGGACAGAAGTTTTCCTGCTATTAGGATGTATGGTATGTGCCAGTGGCTATACTGAATTTTAACACAGTTGGCATGTAGTGAAGAATACAATGGATTACAAAAACATCAAATTTGTGTTAGCAATGTGAATATACCAAAAAGTGTAAGTAGGATATATAATTATAATTACAATATACACTCACTGCCATAAAAATTAATGCACCAAGGAGTTGTATCTGCATGCCAAGTTTCCAGCAATAAGTCTCAAGCAGATAGGGAAATGATTAAGAGTTACAGTGTGATGGCTCACTGCATAGTGCAAGCAGAGGACATTAAAATGTATCCTCCTTGGCCTATAAAAAAAAAACACTCAAAGGCAGCCTGTCTAGTTTACCTGTTGTAGAGGGATACCATATCACTGTAAATGCCTTTTACCTTGCAATGGAAGACCATATGAACAACTAACCGAGTTTGAGAGAGGAAGTCAGATGATCGTCTTGCCAAATAGTCCGCCACCTAGGCCAGAGGTGGACAACAGTTTTGCCCCCGGGCCAAATTGGAAAGAAAACTTTTTCCACGGGCCGAACCAGAGGCTGCCCTGGGAAGATTTTGAGATGGTACGAGATGTCATTGTGGTGTCACCCCGTAGAGACTACAGATACATTTTTCACATTATCATGCTTTATCAACATTCTATGCTGTACTTACGAGATTTGTAATGGAGGGTTAACTCTAAACGCACAGTGAGTTGTTGACCTTGTTTTTTTTAAGGCGTCAGAATTTTTTATTGAACTATTCAGACTTGAGTAGCTAATATTGAAAGATTGATCACGGACCACATAAATTCATTAGATGGGCTGGATCCAGCCCGCAGGCCGTACGTTGGCCATGCCTGACCTAGGCCATTCTGATAGCAGCACAAGGTGATGTTGGTACTGGCAGACAAGATAGAGCTCTCATACGTGGCACCCGTGCTCGTGACACCCTCAACAGACCACTAACCCACAGAACCGTATCGTCATCCACCATCTGGATGCAGCTGGTGCCATCATTATGGGCCTGTTTATGTCAGTACCATTTTGAGATAGCCGGGTGAGAAACATTTGGTATTGCAGCGGCCATTACGTGTGCTGCCACTGACAGCCACCCACTACTGTCTCTGTTTGGATTGGCATCACTCCCGACGGGATTGGACTGCAACGGAATGGAACCAAGTTGTCTATGGTGACAAATCCAAATTCAGTTTGGGCACTGACAATGGCCATGTTTGTGTCTGGAGGCCCTGTGGTGAATGCTTCAATCCTGCCTACATTTTGGAGTGACACCACAACTGATGTAATGGTCTGGGATCACAACAGCTGGTCACCTCTAGTAGTGATCCAAGGAACCATGACAGCTCAACCACATGTTGACTCTGATAGAAGGCTTCCAAGAGCAATTTTCCTACAGGACAATGCTTGATCGCACACATCAAAGGTGTTATAGGACTACCTCCACCATATTGGTGACAAATCAGGGAAGGGTGGCAATCGAGCACGTCTGGGATGCCAAGATGGACAGCCTAGAAGTTTGGCCAAACGTGAAGACCACTTGTAGTAACTGTGCACAGAGATGCTGCAAGACACTATATGGCACGTGTATGCCTCCATTCTCACCCCTATCACATTGTGTATTTACGCTAGAGATAGCCTGACAGGGTACTTCCTTCTTTTGTAGTTTTTCCTGCAATAAATGATCTTTCTCTTTCATTTTGTAATCAATTACTAATTCATCAAAAATGAAAAATGTCCATAACAGTTTCAAAGGTTGGTTGAGTCAGTGAGAGTTCACATGTTGAATTACAAAAGTGATTTGCTAGCCAATTCAAGGAGTGGAAAATGGTATTCTTGCATTTTTAATGTCATTTATGACCTAAGTGACCAATAAAAATCAATGTAGTGATTTTGTATAGTGTAGTTATCAAGTAGGAATAATATTTCAAACATTTTTGATTTTTTTCAATAAATGATTTACAGTGGTACCTTGTATTTTGAATCTAACCTCAATCTCTTCGGAGTTCAAATGCAAAATTCAACAAAAAATTTGCCTAAGAGTTTGAACAATGATTTGAAATTCGAGCTGTACGTGCAGTGAAAAAATATGTTCAATACATCTGTTATGTGTTCAAGTCATCTCTTACACTCGTGCTATGCAAGTATGTTTTCGGTGCTCTTTTCGCTTAATTTCTAGTGTGTTTGGTTATATATACTGTATTATGTGCTATTCGTCGGTTTTAACAATTTCTTCCTGCAATTTTTCTTTGTCCACATTTTCTGGGCAATCCTTGGGCCTATGCTTTGTATCCTTTAGTTCAAAATTTCCCAAAGGGAACTTTTAACCCAATTTTTTTTTTTACTGTTTACACAGCCGTATAACATGCCCAATATGCTTTTTATCTGAAGACATCACATTTTGTTTGAATAAAATCAAGTTGTAAAATAAACAGTTTAAAGTAAGCTTCCAAACAAAGAATAAAATCCCACATTGTCTATAATATGTTAAATTTTACAACCGTTATAATTAAATTGCACGTCTATGTTCAGATGTGGAAGTCCGCGGGGTGTGCACAACCAATAAATAATTTTCATTTTATTATACAGTATTTACATATTTTATTTCCGGTTTTCATGTTTTAATTTATTGTTAAAAAATAACACAGTTACTTAAATTATGTGTATTTGCTGCTTTAAGCTTATCAAAATGGATATTACTCAGGGTCTGCAAATGGATTAATTCAGTTTCCATTATTTATAGTGGCAAAAATTGATTTGGAGTTCAAACAACCTCTTGGAATGAATTAAATTTGAAATACGAGGCATCGTTGTATTAAAAATTACACATAAGCTGCCACAAAGCTGTTAAAATCATAAATGCAAGAATACTTTATATCTTCCCACACTGGCCAGCAAATTACCTTCATAAATCCAACCTTTGAACTTTCACCATAAATGCTGTTGCTGCAACTGTTTTAAGTTTCTTTTTATTACTACTGTACTATGGTTTGTGTTGAATAAATGAATAATTCAGGAAAAGTTTGTTTTCCTGGCACCATAAGCTTAATTCCACAAATAACACAGAAGTCTAACATTAATATGTATGACAATAAGTGACAATTGACAACTTAACCAGATTAGTTTTCTCGAACAGATAGATATTGTTCAGCTTTTACAACTTGTTCTCCTCCCCTATTCTTATTTTCAGCCAGTCTTTAAACTCAATGCCTGGGGTTTGAAATTTGTGGTAAGAAAGAGTAAACCAATTCTTGGTTTTAGTTTTAAAATATTTCTTATGTAATTAATTGTTTCAGAATACTGAAAGTGGTACCTTATGTTTTTGTAAGGTTGGTTATGGATGACAGCATATGCTATTTAGAGGTAAATATAACAGATGTTGTATTTGAAGGGCCTGGGATTGTAAAATTGTTAAGTAGAGGTGTCCTTTGGGAGTGTCCGTTAATGGAGGTTTTACCGTGTAAGCAAAAGATTTACAATAATACAGATTAAATGTTTTTTTACCCACTAAAAATTACCTGACATTCTTCCCAAGAGAGTTGCTCCACAATTCCTTTTCCACCATATTTCCAGTTATAACTATCGTAATGAACTTCTTCCAAAACTAATCCCAAGCCCGGAGCCATTGGATATTTAATCTAAAATTAGATTCCAGATTTTTAACACGCATTCTTTTACGTTAAAAAAAAACAACAAAACAAAACTACCTTTTCTGCCGTAAGGTTTCTCTTCAGCGTTTTTAAATCTGCTAACCCTCGAACGATGGCAATTGCCAATCCTATCATATTACGAATCTGGTGTAGCATGAAACTTTGTCCTTTGATCCTGATGACGACGAACTCTACGCCTTTATACAAGAAAGGCTGACCGCACTGTAGTAATTAAATAATTTATTTTTAATACTAAATGCAAGATACAAATGAAGGAAACTTTACCTCGCAAGACATAATATTCCGCACACAGCCTTTCTCTCTGGCTTCTCTGAAATAGATCATTTTTAGCAATTTCATATGTAAAAGCTTTGTTTTTTAAAATTATTTTTACCTGCTAGAAGTAAAATTCTGATAATTGTGAACTCCTTCAAATTTTTTCAGTATTTTATTTACTTTTTTTAATATTTTTCCTATACAATAATTTATAGAATAGCTATAAAAAATTAATAGTAATTATATTTAAGTATTGATGAAAATGAGAAACTTGTAAATTACTATTGCTTACCAGATAATCTATAATTTTCTGTACAGAGTTCTTCGACGGGACAAAAAGCTAACGTCGGCATCGTATACGAATAACTTCTTGCGTAACAATTGTTCTTTGCATCGAATGTCTTGATAGCCTTTTTTATTCCTGAAAGAACAAAAAATTTTATTTTGTTTCTCTAAAGAACTTGTTCTTTTTCTTCTTTTTTACCGTCAAATACTTACCCATCACTTTTATTTGTGCACAAATTTCGGTGTTGATTTTTTCAATTACGGATTTTGTATCGATATCTTTTTCTAAAAATAAAGATACTATTTGTCTTAGTGCAGAAACGCCTTTGTCTGTACGAGATGCTTTCTGATACCACAAGTCGTAGGGATTCAAATAATGCTGTTTTGAAATTACACCAGCTTTATACATTGCTTTTAATAGTTCTTCTTCAATGGTTGGTACTGCCGGGCTTCTGAAAACGGCAACAGATACAAAATAAATACTGTTTACATCCACAGTCAAAAATTCATCTAATTATATATATATTATACATAGGCCTACCTCTGTATCCCGTAGTAACCTCTTCCTAAATATGAGAACATTATGGCATACTTGCTCATTTTATTACTTTTCATCACTGAATGGTTGTGAGAATCCTAAATTATGATTTTAAAAATATATATACACACACATATTGTATAATTAATTTCTGAAATGTATAAAATAAAATTACGTTACATAGAAAAGAAGCAAGCAAATTTACAAATGATTTAATCGCATCTCAACTTGTTTGTTTTTACTTTCCTGACTGTTATATATAAAAATCTTGGGGAGGGGTCAATTTTTGGAGTTGGGACCTTAAATCACCAAGAAATCAAAACAATTTGGTTTTTTTTCCCCTGTATATATGAATGTTTGTGTTTGTTCTGTTGCATGTGTGTGTGGGGGGGGCAATTTTATTCACCTACTTTAAAGCTTAATAACTCCTGTACAGTGAGTCAAAAATGTCTGAAATTTTGCAGTAAGGTTCGTGTATAAGTGGTGTTGATGCTATTAAATTTCAGTGGTTAAAGATCGAGGGAGTGGGGAGATAAAGGTGGTCATGTCGTATCTCAAGCAGGGTTAGACTTAATAAAGATTTTTAATTGTTATTAATAGCTACAAATTTTTATAAACATTTCTACACTCAAAATTAAGCTTTTTGCCATTTTATAATAATTAATATAAAAAGTTTATTAGAAAAACTTTTATAATAAATGGTGCCTCACAAATTTTTTAATGTTTTGCCGAGAAAAGTACATATCATTTGCTGGATTTTTTTCCTAGTCTTGAGGTGTGTCTTGTTTCTAATATAATAACTAAGTGCAAGAACATTTTGATGGTGCATGTATGCATATATTATCAATGGCAAACACTAACAACGTGGTAAGAGTATGGTCTTTTGTGATAGCTACGTTGTGTTCACAAAAGACCACATTGTCACTACCTTGCTAGTGTTTGCCATTGATAACCAAGTGCAAGAATATTTTGACACATGTATTAATCACATTAGGGACAAGATACACCTTCATAAATTGTAAGGACAATGATACTCTAGCCCTATAAAGTTTCATAAATAATTTTCCATCCTAGAAATCTCCAGTGATGTTACTGGACCTACATAATCAGATTCCTACTCTAATTTTACAAAATTTAAGAACCCGAAGACGACTGCTAAATGCAGCCATAAACATTTGTTCATTATTAAATTTTTGTTAAATTTTGCTGGATTTTATCAGTGTTGAATGTTTTGTTAATTTTGCAACCAGTTTTTAACATTACAATATATCATATTCTCTATAGAATACACTTTTTCTTTTTATATGTAATCAGAAATTTTGAGTAGTTTAGTAGCAGTTAAAACATGACTGGAAATTTATTAAATAAGGCAAGGGAAGCATTGTTTTGGATTAATCGGTTATTATAGAAAACCCGACAAATTAAGCGTCACGATGCCGATTCAAATACTCGAATCCGTTTGGGGTTTAAGTATTTGAATGTGATGTGATCTCACTCTAAGCAGTGAGATTTTATAAAATTTCCAAATTTACTATTAATTAATTTCTGGTGATGCCATATGGGATCAGATAAATTATTACTTTCCCAGCTGTTATATATAACAGAGGAAAAGTACAGAAATTGATAAAAAATGACCCCCCAGATGTTTAAATTTCTGGACTCGGGGATCTTGAAATGTCAAGAAATTTCTGTATGTATGGACGTCGGTGTGTGTATGTGTGCAACACGATTTAGTTTTCCCTCTTTGAAGCTTAACAACTCCCGTGCATTTTGTTGAAAATTTCTGAAATTTTGCAAGGTTTGTTTATTGGGAGGGTCGATGCTACTAAATTTTGGTGATTAAAGGTCGAGGAGGTGGGGAGATAAAGGGTCGTGTGTCTTTACTAATTACTGATATGAAGATTTTACTGGTTGATAGCATTTACAATTCTTTATAAAATCCATTCCTATCTGAAAATTAAGCTTTTTGCCATTTTATAATAGTTAAAAATATAAAAAGTTTTTTTTTAATAAAATATGATAACAGATGGCACCGCAAAATGTTGCCGGGAAAGTTATGCAACCCATTGCTGAAATTTTTAAAAAGTTATTTTATAAATGTTTTTATTTTTTTGATTTACTAAGTAAATTTTTAAAAGCAATTAATAAAATTAAACTGGCAAGATTAAGTCTGTTTATGCAAAAATTAAGAATTAACTTGGGTAGGAGGAAAATTTTTATCTCAATTTGGTTATAATAATTCAATAATTAACAAATGGGACTTTTAATATCGCACGAAAAATCTATATTTTAAAATCGTATTTCCATTGACTGAAATAAAAATTTATCAATACAAACATAAAATACTTATTTTGTGAGATCTTAAGTGCCACAATTTACAAAAAATATGCCGATTTTTCATTAAATAATTTCTCTACTGGAAACATAGTGACATTTCTCAAGTAAGATTGAATAATTCTTTCTATAACTGATGTTAAACTATTAATCTTGTTAAAATGATTAAAGAAGTAGTCTTCAAACGACACTATGAAAACCCGATACATTATAATAATAAAGCCAACTGCTGCCGTATGCCATCAGGCTACATGACGGCTTTATTAATAATAAATTACCAAACAATTTGATCCTAGAGAGAAGCATTAGGTGCCATCTCGTAATAAATTTAATAATTATAATTTTTAATTACATAATTTAGATTAAACTGGAAGAAAAGAATCGGCCCGGAGCAGGACTCGAATATAGCCTTTATATAGCCTGATGGCATACGGCAGTGGTTGGTTTTATTATTGTAGTCGTCTTCAAACATGTAGAAATTCTTGTGCATGAGTATTATTTTTCTGGAATGCAAATCAATTACGTTTAATGAAATAAAGATTTTGATGCTGTTTTTATTTTTTAAGTAATAAAAACAAAAATTTCTAAACTATCTTATCTATTAATATTTTTCAATATTTTCGATAAATGAATATAAACTACACTACACTGCAAAACACCGGGATATGTTAAACACTGCACTCTTGGAACTTATAACCGGAACTCTTACATATCCACTGTCTTGCCTCTTCCCATGGGTTTCTGAGGCTTACGCATAAATTGATAAATCGCTATCACTGCACACACTTGCAAAGCACCATCACAACCGATCATCAGAATAACAACACCCCAACGTGGTACAATGGGTCCCTAGCCCTCTCCATGAGGTACAACAGGTCCCTATCACATTCAATCCATATCTAAAAACACTCTATACCAAGATCACCAAGAAAAAAGGTATTCAGATCGCATACAAGAGATGTCCAACCATCTTTGACATCCTTTGCAATGGAAAAGACCCCCAACCAGAACAGACTCCCTGGTGTATATAGTACGGTATTCCCATTAGGGACAACAGGTTTGATAGGGACCTCGTTTACATCAAATCCACAAAATGCTCCTTGGAAGTCAGAGCACAAAAATGTATAGCGGACACACGTCATCATAGAAGTACTTCCGCCCTCACCACATACGCCACCAACCAGGACATTGTGGCAGTCTTCCACCAGGCGAAACTCGTACACACTACGTCACACAATGAACACCTTAAGTGGCTTGAGGCCATTCAAATTTACAAATTGTCCCTCAATGACAACTGCATCAATTTTAAGGATAAGTTGGTTCTGTCGCCGGCCTGGCAGGTGTTGATGGACTCTGAACTTTAAGGTCACAATATGTCAACTAGACAAACACACATGCGTCTCACGTAACACCTTCTAATTGTTTCTCAAATTTCGTTTAACGGTTTGCACTGTCCCATCAGTAATTCAGTTTCACACCTGAGGAAGAACTCACAGCAGTTCAAAAACATTTGTGGTAATCTTTATCTTTTGTTTTTATATCACACTGGTTATAGATTCTAAGAGTGCAGTTAATGAATATAAATATTTCTCAACAAATAACAGTTATTAACAGCACAAAAAACTTTAAATCACTAACATTTTTGGACATTTTTAATGACCTCCTTCAGATACCAGACAAAATCATAACACCTGAGAATATAATCCCAATGTGAATTATGCTATAGAGAACCTCAGTGAAATCCACAAGGAATACTTTAGATAGTAGGCTATTTTTTCCATTTGCAACATCCTGTCCAAGAAGCCACCCATCTCCTTTTGGACCTCTGTTGAAACCAGGAGGAAATGGTTGAGGAATAACAATGCCATTTTGATATGTGTGAACAAATTTAAAGATTTAGTTATATACTATTTGATGCTGGAATACATCACTGTAACAGACTGCACAAATGCTCCCGACAAGCTGTTGGACTGTTTACAAAACAAAGTTAAATGTTTTACTTACACAACTCTGGTTCATATGAAAAATGAAAAAATGCCCACATTTTTCATGTGTTTATATGTTATCTCCTTCCATCCCAAGACTATTTGCCTTTGTGAAAGTGCATAACATAAACTAGGCAGGAACTTCAGATCAGTTGTTGACAAGGATTGCTCTTCTACTAAAGGTATAGAATGGATCTTCAACAAGTTTACTTCACATCATTCAGCCTATGAATACAGAAACAAACAACCTTTAGCCCTTTTGGAGAGGTTTCAAAATGATGAAGATTTGTTACAGTCAGATATTGAGGCTTTATATCACTCAATCAAGATGGAACCTTGCTTCTTCCACCTCTGGATCTTCCTCCTTGCATCAACTTTCTTCTTCCTCCTTAATAAGCCCAATTACTCAGCTATGATACTACTGCAGATTTTAGAACTGGCTCACCTAGCCACATATTCCTCATTTTCACTTTATGGCTCTACTTACATCCAGAACAGGGGTGTACCCATGGGTAGTCTGCTTTCAGGAACTCTTTGAGAGATGGTTTTGAAACAGTGGTCTTGCCGAGATATGTCTCCAACTTCCGATTATGTGCAAGGTACTGTACATTGACAATATTTTAATCACTTTGAAGAAGCATCCCAACATAAATGCATTTACTGTATTGATGATGTTAACAATAACCCGTATAGCCTCACCTTGAAATTGGAATAGGAAAGTGGCAGTAAAGCACACTTTCTCGATGTTGTTATTACACTCAAAAGGCATTGCTATTAAT